AGCTTTACTAAAAACTAATGATTTAGAAGTTAACCTGGATCTTTCCACGTTGTTCCTCCTTAGTCAGCATCCATAGCTGGTTTACACTCTCATTTCCTACAACTTACTATGCTTTCTTTACTGCAACTCCACATCAGTTCCCCTAACTTCCTTATATTTTCTCAGCCTCACTCCCATTCACCTTCAAACTTTTATCAATTCTTACTTCTTTTTTGCTTTGCTTCAGAAAGTAAATCCATCCTTCTGTGCTTTAGAACCTATTCCCTTCCATTGCCTTTAATGTTCTTTATGTTTCTTAAGGTTCAAACTCACTCTTGTCTATCCTTAGACTATAAAAACATTCAAGTCTAAAAAATCCTGTGCAATAATAACTCTTCTTTCAACCAACTTACTGCCTTTTCTTGTTCCCAACAGATTGTGCCCTCAGTTTTTCTATGGGTTGTAAAAACTCTGTAATCGCCAAATTTAATGGTTATCTGTTTTATCTTGTTATGCATACTCTCTCCTTAAAAAAACAAACAAACAGCTAACCAACCACATCTTTATCAAAGCAGTCTCATAATTCTAACAATTCTTTTTCAAACTTTTTTTGGCTGCTGTTTCTTTTACTTGCTCTCTATTTACTGCAGTTCTGTTCTTAGGAATTCTAAAGAGGTTGAAAACATAACCCGTATGTTTATTGTAGCTCCAGTCTGGCCCCTCTGCTGATCGCAGAACTCTTTTTCCAATTACTTCCTGCGTACCTCTGCCTAGATGTTTCAAAATCGTGTCCATGTTGGAACTCATAATCTTTCCCCTGGACTTGATCCTCCTCTCTTGGTATTTCCCCATGTTCTCTCAGATTGGAAACCTTTGAGCCCCTTTCCTCCAAATCTTATCTTCATGCAGTGTATCTGATTGACTAGGAGCTCCATCCAGTGCTACTCCACAGTTCACCTCTAGAATCCATCCAGTCCTTTCCATTTTCATTGCCAATATGCATGCTCAGGGCCTCATTTCTCTTCACTGGGAATATCCAAGGAGCTCCTACGTGACCTGTATTTTTGATTCATTTCTCTCTAAAGAACCCTCTATATTACTACCAGAGCAACGAATGTCTTCCTTCTTTTATATCCCCAGCAGCAAGCACAGTATCTAGAAAATAGGAGGCTCAATAATTGTTAAATGAATGAATGTGCCATTCTTAAACACAAAAACTACCTCTGAAGGCACTGTGTTGTGCATATAGATACACAAATTCAATCTCTTTAGATGCCATCTAAAGCCCTTCACAGTCTGACTTCAATATAACTTTCTAGCGTCATCATTCACCACGCCTCCTTCAATACCTGAAGGATGTGTGGCCTTGCCGGCCATACTGCCTTTCGGTGCATGGTCATGCCTTTGTTCTCGCTCGGGACCCTACTCCACTTTCTCACTGAGAAAACTTCACCAGGAAGTTTTAGTTCAAATGTCACCCTCTTCTTTGAAACCTTCGCAGATCAACACCCCTTCTGCCCAAGTAGGTCTGACTGCTCCCCTCCTTGCTTCTTAGGCACTTTAATACCTTATGAAATACACAATAATTTATTCCTTCATTAGAGAAAATATCCAACTCCTTGAGAGCTGAGCACAAAGTATACGTGACAGAAATTGTTAGCATTCTCTTCTTCCTGAGTGTTTCGCCAGACTGCACTTTCTTATGTCCTTGAAGTTAAACGTGGCCATTTACCTGAGTTCAAGCCAATGGAATGTGAACATACATGTTGTGTATCATGTTTCCATACCTGGTTTATAAAAAACTTCCATGTAACTCTCCTTTTCTTTCTCTATCCATTGGCTGAATGGAAGATCCACAAGATAAAAGAAACCTGGGTCACTGAATTTCTGCAAGGAGCAGAAATGCTTTCCTGGTATCTTGTATTACACAATGATATGAACACAAAACATATTTACATTGTATTAGGGTATTGAAGTTTGGGGGTTTGCAGTAAGGGTTCAATGAATGTTTCCTAAACAAATGAATAAAAAGGGTTTTGAAAGTTAACACAAATACTATGTTGTGCCTTCTGAGGTGAAGTCAGCTTCCAGAAAAGCAGCCCTCTACGGCTGTTTACCTCAGCAGACCGGCTGCAGAGGTGGGGTGGGGCTATGTGGGAACTACTCAGTGTGTGTAGTCAAGGGCATATTATCAGAATTTATACTCATCTTTCCCGATTTTATTGAAAAATTCCATAGATATAGGACTTTTTAGGTTATTGCAGCTATTTGCTTAAGTCAGATTTTAAATGATTTTGTATACCCTATGAGAGACAATCAATTGAGCCTAGCATTGAAAAAGACTGACAGGGTATCCAATTCAGTCCCTACTTTTAGAAAAGGCTATATTAATATTCCCAAAGAAAAATTTTTATAAGGGTTTAACTTTTCTCCTATGTGTAAATCTCATCTGGAAGTTCTTTTCTATATGTAGCCCAGTCTCTGAAATTGTACCACCATGAATAGACTAGAAATGCTGAAG